TGTGAGTACTCCTTCTCGCACCAGTCCTGTCATAAAATCAAAGAGAATTAATCAAGCCAAAGAGGATGAAGAATGCTCTCGCATTGGGTTACACAAACTGACTTAAGAGCATCCCCTGCATGGGTTGGAACAATCTGCAGTGCATAGATACTACTTGGGATACTTGGGACAGGACCTGAGTGTATCCTAACATACACAAGAGTGGGTCAGAAAACTGACCCGAAGGTACAGTGCCAGTGTTGTCAGACGGAGTTGTTATAGGTCCAGTGTGGTTCCTGCCTGCTAGCACATCTGTCGCGCCCCTCATTTCACATGACTTATGGTTCTGGCAGCAGTGAAGAAGTCTGCGTGTCTTTGCAAACCTTACACAGTTTTAGACAACCAGAGGGGTTCTCCTTTGCCCCTGTTGATAGCAATACACAATCAGAAATCCCGTACCAAAAGGTCATTTTCCCCAGTATTTGCTCCAGACAGTTGTTTTGTGAGGCAGCTTCTTTGCTTTCACTTTGAGGTGTGCTCTGCCCTTAGCTTTAGAAATGGAATAGCACCAAGTTCAGTTTCTATTTAGGAGGAAATAATGCGGCCAGCAGAAGTGTGCATATATTACCAGGTTTGTGTTTTCCTGAGCTCCCACAGGACCTGTGTTCTTAAACTCGTGGCAGAGAGCCTGCACAAAAACATTGCATAATATGTTGTCTATAGGCAACGAATTTTACAATGGCCCTATTCTGTTTTCTAAGGCAGAGGCACGCTAAAACTTTGATTTGATGAACTTCAGCTTTTCTGGATTCTGAAGGAGGCTGTGGAGAGCAAGAAAAGGGGACATGAGAACCACTTCCACGTCTGTCAGATTGTGAGCTTCACTGTAAATCCTGACTTTTCCACTTTCAATTCTTAGAGGTATAGCACAGATTTATTTCACATATTGTATTACCCACACGCCACCAAACCCACTCACATGCACTTTATAACCTGAAAAAGCTCAGGAAATACAGGTAGTTTACTTCTGATCTATGGAATTCTTTGATCAGTAACAATGGCTTAAGGTGGCATAATAGTGCTGGAGGCTTGGCTTGCTGGATCACCAACCACATGCTGGAAAGGGTCTCTTCATCAGGGACTGTAGCGATAGGACAGGGGGTGATGGGTTCAAACTGAAACAGGGGAAGTTTAGATTGGCTATAAGGAGGAAATTCTTTACTGTGAGGGTGGTGAAGCACTGGAATGGGTTGCCCAAAAATGTGGTAAATGCTCCATTCCTGGCAGTGTTGGACAGAGCCTTGGGTGACATGATCTAGAGGGAGGTGTCCCTTCCCATGGCAGGGGATTGAATTGGATGACCATAAGGTCCTTTCCAAACCAGGTCATTCTATGATTCTATGATCACCTCACCTTGGAACTGTTCATTCTAGCCCTTCACATGCTTCATGTTACTTGATCTTAAGGTCCTTTCCAACCCTAACTATTCTATGATTCTATGTTTTCAAGCCAGATGTTTGTAGACCAAGACTTGGTGGAAGAGAGAACAACCACAGGGAAAACAGCAGACAACATAGAGCTACCCAATGAAATCCTGCCTCTTATTCATGTTAGATAGGAATTTTCCATGCTGGAGCCAGTAATGCTGCCTAACAGCTCTTGAGGGTGTTGTGTGGCACCAACAAGGTGTTTACAGGAACTTGTTAATCGCTTGGAGCTGCCACTAATGATAAACACAGTCTTTTGTTATCAACAGTTTTGAGCACCCGTTGGTGGAAGCATTGCTGGAGCGGACAGTGAGTGTTAATAGTAACAATCAGCTCGCCCATAAACCAGTACTTCTTGCAACATCACATTTCAAAGGGTTTTTGTCACGGCTCCACCCTTTAGGATGATTAAGTGGGAAATGATTTCAGCATAACCTGAACAGGAACATCAACATCTGTTAGCTTGTCTTTCTGAGAGCTTTCAAGAGTAACAGGAGAAAACGAAAGAACTGAAACACATAAACTGGAACATAAAATGAATAGAGATTCCTCTCACTGCTAGTTTTCCCTTGAAAGCATGTGCATAAACCTCAAGGTATTGTTGGTCCTGTTTCACTGAACAACCTTTGCCGTGCAGGAAGGGCTGCTTCTACCAGAAGCCAAGAAACAGGAGAAGTGAAATATGTTTTAACCAAAATCCACATTGCTCTTGTGAAAAACATCAGCTCTCAGTTTCTGACATGCAGAGCCATAGGAGTCTCCCAGGAGCAGGGGGAGGCCCGGGTGGAGGAAGTATAACTTGTTTTCTTCTTTCGCCTGGGGTGGAGGCAAGTTGGTTGTTGAGCAGGTTATGAAGGTGGGTCCCTGACAGAAAGCCTACATTTCATGTCAGGCTGAGGAGCAGTAGGAGGAAAACCAGGTGAAAACCTGGGAGGTGAAGATGGAACGGTTTGAAGACGTGCTCTAAAAACACCAGTGAATCCATAGCTGCAGAGTAATCCTGGAATGTAAGTGTAAAGTTAAACGTTCTCTTGCTTGCCTTCAGGAAAGCAGTTGTTTTACTGTTTTATGGGCTTATCAGACCCTTGGGTGCTAGTGAGCAATTTTTGAGATATATAGCGTTGTAGTTTTAATAATGACATGTAAATTGTCACAGATAGTATAGAAGATGATAAAGATGTTATTTTGGTTAACCTATGTTCGTTTAATGAATGGATTTTTAACATGTTTTTGATTGTTATTTGAAATTCTATATGTATGGTAAAGCGCTTGTAGTCTGCAACCGAAGCGATACCTGTGCATTGAGCAAATGCCTTCGAAATCATGCCTGTAAAAAGGATTACAATAACATTGCAATCTGAAGAATTATCTCAGTTACTCTGCAGTGTAATTCATGTGTTCTTATTATCACTTGTCTCATTACTGGAGAATCTATAATGACTTTCTTCCCTATTTGTGCCATTTATCTTCATTACTAAGCAGATGGTAATGTGCAAATTGGGTGACAATTGTGAAATTTCATATTTTAGGGAAAGAAAAGAGAAAGTAGACAGCATGAGGTAATCTGTTAGTGGGTATTTGTGGTGGTTTTGTCATTTTTGCCTTTGATTCTTTACATTTTAATAAAAAACCTAAAGGAAGTATTTTCTCTTTCAACTGAATATTACAAATTTGCCCTCTATTAGCAGCTGCTGTTCTTAACAGGCTGTACATTGCTGAGTTGATGCAGAAGCATTGAAGGTATATGATGCACTAGAGTGAATTTACACTAAAATAAAGAGAGCAACATTATGTCATACACTGGCTAATCTATGTAAGAACTCCATAAGCAAAGTTTGCATTGGGCACAACTGATGCACAAGACATGCCTCGATTAACCAACGCCATGGGGGACTTGGAGAGTTTCATTTATTCCCCAGTTCACGTTATTCCTGCAAGTGCTTGTGAAGGGACGGTTTAGAGAGCTTCAAATTCCTGCTGTTTTCACATGATGTCTGTGGAATCAGGAAAAGAGCTGGGAAGAGAAAAGCTCCTTAGGTCAGGGTCACAGAAGTATATTCGCTCCTAAGGAGATGTGCTGGCTGCTGAGGGAAGCACATTGCTGTAGCAAAGTTACTACTGTGCATTCAAACCATGGTTAACTGCTCTAACAGTGTAAGAATACTCTTTTATATCAATAATACTTAAAATCGTAATCTATTGTCTTGGAATATTTCCCTGAGCTGGGCCTGAAAAGATTTGTGTGTGTGCACACACTCATGATGGAGTACTTCATACCTGGGGAATAGTGATTTTGAGAGTACTAAATACAGTCTTGAACTTAGCTCAGTGCTGTTTTAAAACAGGAGAGGATTTGGCAGTAACCTCAGCAGATAAACCCTGGTGTCGTTAATTAATCACTGCAAGTGCAGTGATTTCAACAGGAGCAAGTTCAAGCGCCAGCATATCCCCCGAAGACACTCAGGTTTAAACAGAGCATAGCTTGAAAGCACCCCACCAAACTTCGCCCTCTCTCCAGGCCTCCTGTGAAGAAAAATAACCTTTCAAGTTTAAGAAAGTGTGCTGTAATAATAAGTACTAACATTCCTTAAGAGCTTCTATGGTTTCCTTGGCTAACAAAGTGCAATCTTTCTTTCACAGCCTGACTTTCATGGAGTTTTTCTTGACATAAGCTGCAGACCAACCTCACATTCTTTGGGGAAGAAAAAAGAGAGTGAAAGAGAGTGTGTATTTTTCACCTATCCAGTAATAACGATAAATGCAGTGAATTTAAATGCCTGAGCCCAAAACCAAAATGTCTAGAAGAAGAAGTAAATGTAAAATAGAGTGAATCTCTATTATGTACTATTATGTACTCTATTATAGAGTATATCCTTTCCAAAAAACACAGAAATTAATGATTCCTGGGGAGACACTAATTCTAGAGCTGCTGGTTACAGTTCTAATGCTCAGAGTAGAGCAATAGTAAAACCAACAGTAATTAAGGTGGGCAGATCCTGTTATGTGTAAAGAAAATGTGTTTAAGTCATAACATTCTAAGCAGAATGATGCCTAAGAAAAGCAGGGAAAGACTCCAGTGACGAGGATAACGCAATCCATTTACCCTTTGTTAAGGGTACATAGAAATTGTTCCTGTTACAGGTTTAACATTGTGGTTCTGACAAGGTGAGCACACAGCTCAGTGCAGCATCTCCAAGAAATACAAGTGGTTTGAACACAGTTAAAACAATAAGGCTTTCATATGGGCTGTCCATCCAAAGTAAGTTCGGCAAGGAAAACGCCTTTCTGTTCAGGTGACATGAGCTAATCCAGAAACAGAGCAACAAAGCTGAGTTTCAAGGAGTGTCTTTCAGAGTAAGTGTAGGGAAAGACATTACAAAGTTAAAGCAGTAGGAGTTCTCTTTTGCTGAGTTATGACTTAAAATCATTGGAAGACTGAACATCAGGAGGGGCAGCTGCTGGGGTGACATTCCTCCAAAATTCCTATGGTTTGGGGTTTTTATGGAAGACTTAGAGCTTTTTCCTTTCTTCCAGTGATCTTCCTTTAACTGCTGTGTGAAACTGGACATCAGCATCAAAATGGGCAATGAGAACAGTAGTGCAGAAAACCAGGTGAGTGTAACAGTGTGACTGCATTTCCTTTCCCTACTAGCCTAGAGCAAACCCCACAAACATTGGTTTCACAGGCAGCTCACCCCACATTTATCTTCTGCTCCCAGTTACACTTACACTGAAGTGTCATTTACATTAATTCAGACATTCATTCAGTCATTAATGGTAACTGAAGGCAATTCTCTGTTTGTTATTTCTTTGGCAATGACACTGCTACATTAGGGCACTGTGCGGGTGGTTGCCCCCTGGGGAACAGGAGAGCCATGGAGGAGTCCCATGGGATGAGCTCATTCCTCCTCCCCTAGCTGGGGAGCAGCCAGGGAAACCCCCAGCCCTGGGCATCAGGAACATCCTTGAGGAGATGGACAGGGCAAGATAGAACCAAGATGTCAGTAAGCAGAGATCCAGGCAGGGTAGGGCTGTGGTGGAGCAGGAGACCAACACCCTACAGCATCAGTGGGGATGACATCCCTGGGGGAGCTAAAATAAGGTAATTGGTAGGGTGGGGATTGACCCTGAGAGCCAGGTGATACCTGCGGTGCCTTCAGAACCCTGACACACAGTAGCTCCTCCTTGTTTAGAAACAACCTAGCAAGATGTATGTGCTGATCCAGGAATTTAGGCCCGTTTTAGAAGAGTATGTTGTTACTGATGTTGGTGTTTGGTGATCTGTTTCTTAATTCTTGAAATGAAAACAACTCATGCTGTGGCTATGGGTGTACAGATACATTGGAAGTTACTACGCTGATAATACTTTGAAGAAAAGTTGTAATTGTTTAATTTCAACAGTCAAAATACAAGGGCATGTTTCATCCACTCTTTTTCCATATGTTATGGTAGATGCTAAAATGCCTTAGCGTTCATTTTGCTTCCATGTCAGATCTCAGCAGATCTGCTGTACATTGTGCATTGCAAAGTGGACTCTCTAAAGGGAACCAGCAGAGAGAATGGCTTTAACCTGCCAGAGGGGAGACTGAGATGAGCTCTTAGGCAGAAGCTCTTCCCTGGGAGGGTGCTGAGGCGCTGGCACAGGGTGCCCAGAGAAGCTGTGGCTGCCCCATCCCTGGCAGTGTTCAAGGGCAGGTTGGACACAGGGGCTTGGAGCAAGCTGCTCTAGTGGAAGGTGTCCCTGCCCGTGGCAGGGGTTGGAACTGGATGAGCTTTAAGCTCCTTTCCAACCCAAACCAGCCTGGGGTTCTGTGATTGTTAAGTTTAATAAAAAGGTCTTTTTTCCTTCTTTTTTTTTTTCTTATAAGGAAAGTAAGTTTCTGGTCTCCTTTTCAGACTGTAAAAAACCAAACCACCACCCCCCCCCCAACCCTTCCCCCCCAAAAAAGAAAACTCAAGAAAAAAGCCCAAAGCAAATAAAAATAAATGTTAAACATCCAACTTACTTTAAAAGACACTTTTAACTGTGAAATAACAAGAATCATAGAATAGTCAGGGTTGGAAAGGACCTTAAGATCATCCAGTTCCAACCCCCCTGCCATGGGCAGGGACACCTCACACTAAACCATGGCACCTAAGTCTCTGTCCAACCTGGCCTTGAACAATGCCAGATATGGAGCATGCACAGCTTCCCTGGGCAACCCATTCCAGTGCCTCACCACCCTCACAGGAAAGAACTTCCTCCTTAGATCCAATCTAAACTCCCCGTTTCAGTTTGAACCCATTACCCCTTGTCCTGTTACTACAGTCCCTAATGAAGAGTCCCTCCCCAGCATCCTTACCGTACCCCTTCAGATACTGAAAGGCTGTAGTAATAAAATCCTAAAAGCCTCTTAAGCTGCTGAACAGCCATTGGAAAAGTAGCACTTAATGAACAGTGAGGACTTGTACAGCCACTGATGTGTTTAAATGAGTTCATTTTCAGTCCGAAGTCCCCAATGCCAGTAAAGCCATCCCTCTACCACCAAGCCAAAGAGCACAGCAGGTAGTGGATGATGAAACTGGTTCGATGGTTTGTGTTTCGAAATGTTAGCATCAGGCTTGGCTCTTCTTTTCCTTGTGCATCTGCTTTGGCTTTTGGTTCTTTGACACTGGCTGCAGATTCTCAAGGCAGCTTCATTTCAGTTTTCAGCAAGTTGTAAAAAAAAATCTGTTTTCTTTTAACTCTTTTCCATGGGAGCAATCTCTGCTTTAGAGAAACAGCCTCTACTTGACCCCCTCTGCCTGCTGCCTTGCTTTCCAGCTCTAACACAATTAAAATAGCTCAGTGGGTGTTAAACTCAGAACCTATTGACATGAGTTGTTGTTTTTGTTTATGCATTTATCAAGGAACACCACTGCCCAGCTCCAGCTCTCTGCTGAGTCATTTGGAAGCTGTACACATGGTTTGTGTTAAAGGTGGGAGAGCCTGAGCTAAGTTTAGAACACATTTAGTAAGAAGGAAGATCTGTGGAATAGATGTGCTACTATGAAGAGTGTAGGAGACAGTTATAGAAAAAGTAAATACCCAAATCGTGTTGTAAAGACCGGCCTCTGAGGAAAACATAATCCAAATGTAGTAGAAATGAGCAAAGAGAATGCTTGGATAACACAAAGCTGGGGCCAGGGGAATATCTGGACCTGCATGAGCGAGTCCAGAGGAGGCCACGGAGCTGCTGCAAGGGCTGGAGCAGCTCTGCTCTGGAGCCAGGCTGAGAGAGCTGGGCTGGGTCAGCCTGGAGAAGAGAAGACTCCTGAAGGGGAGACCTGAGAGCAGCTCCAGTGCCTGAAGGGACTGCAGGAAACCTGGAGAGGGGCTTTGGACAAGGGTCTGTAGGGACAGGCCAAGGGGAATGGCTTTAACCTGCCAGAGGGGAGACTGAGATGAGCTCTTAGGCAGAAGCTCTTCCCTGGGAGGGTGCTGAGGCGCTGGCACAGGGTGCCCAGAGAAGCTGTGGCTGCCCCATCCCTGGCAGTGTTCAAGGCCAGGTTGGACACAGGGGCTTGGAGCAAGCTGCTCTAGTGGAAGGTGTCCTTGCCCGTGGCAGGGGTTGGAGCTGGATGAGCTTTAAGGTCCCTTCCAACCCAGACCAGTCTGGGATTCTGTGATTTAACAAAGTGATTTTATATCTGTACTAATCATGTTGGCTTGTAACAGTACACAAAGTCCAAACTGCCAAAAATTTTAAGTTTGTGCCTGCCTTATTGGAATGGCAAAATCCAGGTGCGCTGGGTAGGACAGAGGAAAGGCAAGCTCCATCCTCAGGCTTTTCCCTGGCATTTCTGGACAGCCAAATGCTCAAAAGTCATTTACATATCTGTAATAAAAATAAAGCTGCGTGGAGACCTCATAGCAGCCTTCCAGTATCTGAAGGGGGCCTATAGGGATGCTGGGGAGGGACTCTTCATTAGGGACTGTAGTGATAGGACAAGGGGTAACGGGTTAAAACTGAAACACGGGAAGTTTAGGTTGGATATAAGGAGGAAATTCTTTACTGTGAGGGTGGTGAGGCACTGGAATGGGTTGCCCAGGGAAGTTGTGAATGCTCCATCCCTGGTGGTGTTCAAGACCAGGTTGGACAGAGCCTTGGGTGCCATGGTTTAGTGTGAGGTGTCCCTGCCCATGGCAGGGGGGTTGGAACTGGGTGATCTTAAGGTCCTTTCTAACCCTAACTATTCTATGATATTTTCATGGAGAGGGATATACCTGTGCACTTCCTCAGCCCTAGATCTCTTGGTATTCTGGGCTCAGATTCCATCTAGTAAATCCACACTTGCAAACAAACCCAAACTGAGTAGGACCAACACATCTGCTATGTAAAATGTGTGAAGGAGGAGAGGGACATGGTCTGTGTGAAGAAGCATGAGCCCGGTGTATGAGCTCTGCAACCCAGCCTTGTCCATGCTGCTCCAGGGGCTTGTGCAGTTAACTCAGGGACCAGCTCCCAAAGTGAAGGGTTAGCACTGACTTCCATGTCTGGTTTTTGTCATGGCCACTCATCTACTAGAATTATGCTATCGCCAGGACATTTTTGCTTTCATTTAAAAGGGGTGGGTGGAGGATGTAAAAAACAGAGGTCTCTATCACTGGAAACACAAACACAACATTTTCTGAAGTTTGAATAAGCTGCATTTTCTAACATATAAGAATTCTCACTGAGGTGTTTAATTCTTGCCACTCTGAGCTGTCCCATTTCACTGCCTTTCTCACGGTTGCAAATAAGTCAAAGTTACCAAGTAATTGTAAAGCCCTTTAAAGGTGAACAACGCTGCTGACCTGTATTTCTAGCAGCGTGTGTTTTGCTCCATAGTTGAAGAGGGAATTTCAGTCAGTTCCACAGAAGTTATTTCTCTGTATTTCACTTTAGCCTTTCTTCTTTGTGTTCTGCATGAGTAAAGAGCCAAACAAATCTGGTTATTCCACATCTATGTTGTTGTCCGTTTCTCTTTAACCATGTATCTTAATGTGTGGTTATCATCTTGTTTGTTCTTGTTCTATGCTGTGCAATGGGTGAGACAGGCAACACATGCCAGAGGGGGCAGGACTTCTGAAGAGTCTATTTGTTTGTCTGAAGCGTCCTGCTGGGATTTTCCTCTCTGCATTATTACTTTTCCCAGACTTCAGCTTCCTTATGCCTGTGTGGAATGATGGATCTAGTTAGTTGGCATGGATCTTCTTTGAGATCTCAGTGTTACGGGGATCAACTGAGAATGCACTGGGCACATTACCAGCTTCCCAGCCTTCAGTCTCCGTTCCCACAGATGATAACTGGGCAAATTCCTCTGAGTTCTGGTGCTCATACTGTGTGTTTACATACTTTTGGAATAGCGCAATAACATCTGTGTGCATTCCATTGTTTATATTCCATTGGGAACAAAAATACATCCCCGATTTTCTGCATAATAATTCTGCCCCTAGAACTTCAGTGAGGAAATACAATCACCCTACACGGGCTTTGCTTTGAGTTTGCTGTATCCTCCCTGATTCACCACTTTCAGTCTTGAAGCTATTATTTGCTTTCATTTTTCCTTCCATTTCATCCATTGCGCATCAGAAGTGCACAGGGAACTGT